GCAGCAGTAGGGAACAGGCAAGGCTCCATGTGGCCCTGCTGGCCAAGAGTCTCAGCTTGAATCCCCACAGCCTGTGTGCCACACATGAAACAAAGGCACTGCATTTCCAAGGGATGGATACCGCAGGATATGGGTGGGGAAGCTCCTCTTCGCTTAGAGCTTAGCAGAACCACACTGGACAACCACAGCACACTGCTTTGTTCCAGTAACACAGGAATAGCACGGCCCTGTGGCAGGTAAAGCCACTGACCTTCCTCTGCTCCAGGGACGAGGTTGTTGCAAATGATATTTGGCACACGTGGCTACTGAAGCTCACAGCTGTTACATCTTTGCTTCCCTTATTTTTCAAATCTGTCTTCTATAGCAAGGGCCCTCTGAGCACACACACTTTTGACAAGCCAGTTAATCCTGTAAGTACAAGGCACACCCACACAGTGCAGAATAACAAACACCAAACACTCACCAGGGAAAAACAATCTCAGTCTTGCAGAAAGAGTGAAAGGAGCAGTACTTCTGTGTCTAAAAATATTTACAAGGTTTGTCAAAGGTCAGGCGAGAATGGCCTCTTAAATAACCCAGCCCTGGGATGAATTGTCATTTCCCTGCATGATCCCTGCAGGATCTTGAAGCCTGGCTATTTATTTAACTCCCTAAAGACCAAGTTATGACCCAGTTTTCTTCTGCTCTGTGAGCAAAAAGAAGGCATAAACTTTCACCACAGTTATTGTGCTTTCCATCCAGAGAGATTTCTTGATCTCAGAATATAAAGAAAGTAATAGATAAAAGGAGAAAAAAATTACTTCAGATTTTCATAAACCTTTATTGCCAAATTACTGTTGCAAGCAGCAGTTAGAGAAGAGTTAGGGGGAGCGTTAGAAACTGCCAAAACCAGAGATGGACTAAATAGCCAGCTTTCGCCTGGCAAGAGGCTGACAGGGAGGATCTGAGCTCCTACATGGAGTCACAGGAACAAATGTGGGGGTGGACAGAACAGAAAATAGCCAAAACCTAGAGAGCGACTGTCAGAAGCTTTGAAAGAATTCAGTGTACAGATGATGGGGCTGCATCAAGGCAGATTTGAACATAACTGTAGAGATGGGGAAAGACACAACACAGTGGACTTGGGATATTTGCTGTTGTGATTAAAGCCAAGGCTTCAGAAAGCGTAAGGAAATAAAGGACTGGATGTCTTCTGCCTGGGGAACAGCAGAGCCGTGAACCCCCAGAAAGCACCAGGCCATAAAGCAGGCCAGAGCAAGGGCACAAGGCAGGGCTTCGGCACTTCCCTCTCCAGGGACCCTCTTCCAGGTTTGTCCAAAAGTGTGTTTCTGTTAAAGGAGAACCTGTCCACTCCATCCTAGTTCAAGGAGACAGACTGATGTTCAACATTTAATAAAATAAGAGAAGTAGAGCAATGTTTCTAAACCAGGAACTGAACGGCTGCACTAGAAACTGAAGTCCAGATGCATGGGAGATTCTTCATTAATGCTTGAGATTAATTAATTAATTAATGCTCCACTAATGCTCCATCCCACCACATGACTGATTTGTATTATTCTTATTTAGATTGAACTAGCTGATCCAGACGGTGTTTTAGCAGAGGCGAAGGCGATGTTTGATGACAGCCAGAATTAATAACCGGGTGCTGAAGAACAAAAGAAACTGTGAGCTAAGAACATGATCCCGAGTCACTGATTCATTTGAGTCTCACATCCACTCTGGGGTGTATCATGTCAGGGTCTGCCTTGCTTTTTCCCCTCAAGGCTGCCCGTGTATGCTTCACTCTGCAAATGGCTTTGCTCAAAAGCACCTTCCCACATTTTGGAAGAGAAAGAAATAAAAAACAGAAAGCCTGCTGCCAGGAGCAGGCACCAGCCACGCTGAGCTGTGGTGCTTCAGGTCTGCTCAACATCACCCACGAGACCAAAGGACACCAGCACTGCAGCTGCCTGGTAAAGAAACCAAATGGTGGGAGCATGGGTCATTAGATCCCCTGATTAGTATCGTGCTAATGAGCATCACCTCTTCATTTGGTCCCTTGACTTTTCATGTTTTCTAGGGTGAGAGATAATCTAATTTTCTATTTAAGCAATCAGGGAGAATAGCAATACAGCATGCTTAGTCCCAAGATTTAAGCAGTGCTGCTGACAGGAGGAAAAGCATTTAACAATGTTAATATTCTTGATACCTGCCTGTGTCAACAGGAAAACGTATCTTCATGTGACTGAAGTGAGTAACTGCACACATTGAAGAGAGCCTCAGAAATACCCCGTTAGGATTAGCACAATATAGCTGAAGAGATAAAGGACAGAGAAAGGATAAGCATATTTAAGGCCCTTGGATAACAAATAATCAGCAACAACTGTGTATATTTTATTGCATGATTTAAAGTATTTTATATCTAAATAAGTGATATACAATAACCAATGTTTAAAATGCTTGAGGTAAATGCGTAATACCATTAGTATAAATAAGGGATAAAAAAAAACCCAAATTTTAAGTACACTCTTAACATTTAGATCCACGTGTCTGGGTCTGGTCACTGGCTCTGGCACACAGTTACACGACTGTGCCCAAGCTGTAACTTTCACAACCATTTCCACAGCTGGAAAATGAGACACATATACTCGGTATCATGGCTTAAAGTGCAGAAAATAGTCAGAAAAGCAGCTGTAATAACAGTTCCATTAGCTCAGAACCTACCAGCAGGAGAAAGTTTGAAAAGGCTGTCCCACTAACTTCTAATTCTGTATTTCTTACACAAAACAAAGAACCCCACACTTGTCTGTCACTTTATAAAAGACCCACAAAGTGAAAAGAAACTCAGCTACTTATCCAAGACAGCAAGTCATTTTACAAAACAAGCTTGGAAAAGAGACTTTCTGGACTTCCATTCAAAATAATGTAACTTTTAAATACACAGTTCACAGACAGAAGCGTAATTTTTAAGCCCTTTCAACCAATTGCTCTAGTGGGAAAATTGAGTCAGGTTTTCTTTCTTTACTGAGGCTTTTTAAAAGTCTCTTTTCCCCCAAGACAGGGCTGGTAGCCCAACAGAAGATGGGAAAATCCATTTTGTGCCTCCTGCTAAGATTTCATGTTTTGGAATGCTGCTTCATTAATGCCTTCACTATCATCATCCCTCCAGTGCTCCGTGAATGCAATCACAATTCTCACCATCTGCAGATTTACATCAGTACTATATAACTGAAGCATAACGTAATGGCAGAGCTAGAGAAAATCCAGTTTGGCCTCTGTATGCCAGAAGGACTTGAGGAAAGCATTTTTCTGCTTGTGAACCAAAGAATGCTGCTGAAAAGAGCCCAGCAGGTTGTTTTATGGCGATTTTTCAGAATGCACACACACCACGGGTAACTTTGTCAACACTTCCCTCTGCCGTGGTGCTGACATGAGAAATCAGTCCCATGCGCTTCACGAGGCTGCTTCAGTAGCAAACATACTCAGCCACCCCAACTCTGCAGGCACTTCCTACAGCTCGTGAAGATGCTGGGGTCACCCAAGACAGAGGTGGGTGTCAGGAACCCCGTCCAGCCCAGGCTGCCGGGTACCACTCCGCTGTGCTGCCACATTCACTCCTGTCTAATTTCAACCTCCCAGGTTTCTATCCCAGTGTTAGCTACAGAAAGGGAAGTCAAGCTGTGTTCCGTTACACTTGAAACCTACCTCAGTTTGTGTTCAAAAAACAGCTTTTACCCATTAAAGCCCAAAGAACTGCAGTAAAAAAACCTCCACTTCTAGACCCAGCGAGAATTCCTGCAGCAGCCCAGGACAAGCGCTGCGATCTTGCTTGGACAAGCCTCTTATCTGAGACACCAAATGGACGTTTTTGCTTAAAGAGGAAATAAAAAACCGACATGGTCGCCTCGCTGTCACAGAAGTGTGTGTTTGAAAGTGAGCAGCAATATTAATTACAAATAACCTACTTCCATAAATAAACCTATACAGAGATAAGTCTTCCAGATCATTTGGAAGCAAAACATGTATAACAAGTTAGTAAATACAACACTTCAGTGAGGAGAAGACTTTTTCTAAACAAGGAAGACAAACGCATAGCTAATTACTTGGGAATCCAACGCAGAGAAAGCACCTCTTGCTGCTTGTATCTGAGGATTTATTAAAAATAGATTTTTAATATAAAAGTACAAAAGAATTACTACTTTGGCTTGGAAAAAAGCCAGCAGTGGTTCTGATTTTCAAGCAAAAAATTATCCAGTGATAATTTCCATCTAGTAACTTCTTTTTAAAAAAAGATTCCTAAATGGGAAATAGGCAAGTCTATCTCTCCAGATAATGTGTGCCGGCTCACGAGAACTTTAAAACAGTTATTGCTCTTATTTTCTTCCAAAGAAGAGTAGAGTCTCATTCCTACTCATGTGGCCACACCACATCGCAGTAAGACGAGTCATGGTTGTTTAGCGAGTTATAAAATGTGTAACCGCCACAGGGAAAAGGCGCTGGAGAAATCAGTGAAGTAATAATGACTTGGCAGCAAACCACACTAGGGAAAGTGGTGGGAAAGCTCTCGCTTCTACCATCTGTCAGGCTTCCAGAGAGAACAGCGCTAGCACTGAAACCAAGTGCTAATTGCTGCACATCCCAAGTAATTTGTATCATGCCATGCAATATGGATCGGACAAGCAGTATCTTCTAGTAAATGCCAACATCAAATAAAGAAAAGGGAGGAAAAACAGCTTCTCTATCCATCCCTAACAAATGCCCAAATTTACAAGGTTATTTTCCATGTATTTATACAGCCACCATTCAGCATTACAAGACGCAATCTAACAGTGTTCACAAGAGGGATGCACGTGCAGTGCAAGCATACCCCACCATCCTTTCCTGCAGATGCCAGAGAGCCAAAATGTTATGAAAGGAACATTATTTTTTCTCTCTAAAAGGTTAGAACAACATTTCTAATCTCTCTTTAAACAGTGATCAACAGTTCGACCAGTTCGTCCACAGGGGAGTCAACATAACCAGGCAGAAGCAGAATAGTGGGTTTATTTTTCTGAAGGACAGGTTTACGGAAAATGGGTAACAGCTGAGGAGATCGTGTCACCTCTGTGATCCAGCTGATCCTGGAGCCGTGCAAATTCTGCAAGTTCGTTCAGTTCTTGAAACTGCCTGTCTGTTTTATGGCTCACCAGCGACCTGTAGAAGTGGACTGCAAACACAATGAAAATCAGTCCAAAGGGAACCATAATAGACGTTGATGCAATGGCTGCTGCCTGTCCTGATGTGATGGTAGAGGAGCTGTTGCTCTGAAGAGGATTATCAGTTTTCTTCTTTAAAGGCAGAAACTTCACCCAGCACAGTAACACCACCTCTGCAAGAAAGAGCAAAGTCCCAATGACAGTAGAAAATGCCCAGGCGAGCTCAATGTGCCGATGCATGCGCTCGTGAGGAGACTCCTTTACAGAGTTGAGATTGTGCACATTGCTAACAGCCTCTATGTTTGGGAGGATGCAGGTACTTATCATGAGTGCAAAGAGGTGAACTGCCACGAGGACAGTGGTGCAGGCACTGAAGGCTATCAGGAGGCCTTGCGGGTAGTCGTGTTCAGCATCCAGCTGAACTTCTACCATAGCCACCTGAAAAGGAGCACAGAGAGAGATGCAATTAATTACATGACATATTATTTCACTATACATTATTTTAAGTTCAAATGCAGACTAGCATTTTGTCTGGACCAGATGATCTTCCGGAAACATTTAAGTTTCTCTTCATGTCAATCTGCATCCTTTTCATTAGGTCCAAACGTAGGTCTGAGCTATTGAGGAAAGGCCACCACTTTCACACTTTCTGTTCTGCTGTAGAGCAAACCACCAGCATGCACAGAAGCTCTGGACAGCACAGCAGCCACCTCACCATCCCCAGCCCATCCCAGTGAAACAGCTGAACTTTGTGACCAACACACTTGGGCTCTTCAGTGAAACATTTCTTCTTTCCTGTGTTATACTGTAGAGGCAGCTTCTGATCTTTCATGATACAACATAAATTATACACTTCATTGGGTATTAGGAAATGTGTTGTGTTCCATACATACGTAGAATACTCTATGAGGTCTTCTGATGTAAGGATCTATATCATGAAAGCTGCTAAGGCAGCAGACTGCCCATCACAATCTTGGTGGCCCATTCTCCTTGGATATTTAGAGTTCTGAGGAACAGGAGCCCTTCACTACGAAGATCACCCTTCCAAGGAGCTCTAGGCTATATTCTTTCACTCAAAATATATAAGCAGACTCTAGGACACAGATTCAAAACACACGATATCCATGGCAGCCAAACAGGCCTGCTAGAGGCTGGAGGAAAGAAACCAATGGTCTCCCACAAAAGTTAACACAGAGCACTCCCAGCCACCATGAGGTGCTCTTACTGAGTCTGGGATCCCATCTCCTTGTGCTCCCAGGCCCAGCACACTCCAGGACACCACAACTCAACCACCAACACACCAATATATTAAGCCAACGAGGGTTCTGCTCAGACGTGTTTCAACAGGCATTCAAGGCCATTTGCCAATATTTTAATTCCTTTAATGAAAGCTTTATCGTCATAAGCCGAACCACCCAGCCAACTAGCAAACAGTCTCCAAGTGTTACAAGAAACTCCAGAAGTAATTATATTAAAACATATATCATTCTTGCTCGAGGATTTAAAAATACCATTTCTCAACTGTGGGAAGCTTCACATTTGAGAGGATAAACATTTGGTCGTGGGTCTCTCTTGTGCAGGGTTGTTTGTTAAGTCCCAATGCACCCGTGGGATGTTGGGCTTCCTGTGTTTTTCACAGAACGACTGCAATCCTTCACCACTGAGGATTTCTTTTCATCCTTATCAATGGTTTTTCTTGCACATTTTCTGGGGCACGTCTAGACTCAAAACCATCCAGCATGACAAGATGTTTTAATCCTTTATCCTGGTACTTATTATGTTAACATAACCATGATATTAAAGAGCTTCATAAGATGAAGACTATTTTCTTTTAAGAACTGATGTATTTAATTCACCAAATATTGAACACATATTTCCATTAATCGATGTCTCCATGTAATAATGGCATCAAGCGTCTGATTTTGAAGTTCAGCCAGACTCTCTTAATTCCAAATGCACCCGCTGTCCTGGAGCTACTCTTCTATTCCCATTTCAACAGAGCATCAAGCAGAAATCTCTTCTTCCTCCTCTTAGCCTAGCCTGAGCTAAAAAGAAGCACTAAATAATTACATGTAATCTAAATGTACCTACTTCTGATTTGACTATAATTAAATGCATGATCAAAACAAAATCTTGCAAGAAAGCAGCTAAATTTAGGTAGCATTCAGATACTCAGACAGCTCTGTGCCTTGATAAGCACCAACAGGAGCACAGGGACAACTCACTATTAGAAGGAGACATCCAGACCAAGAACCCAAGCTTTCCTGCATTAAAAAGCCTTCGTTTCAATACTGCTGGGTGTTTCCCCAAAAGAGCGACCTGAGTGGCACCATCAGCCGTTACACACTGACAGGACAGCTTAAACCCGAGTTCATGCTACACAAGCAGTTTATTCTGCTGCCAAGTACACCAACACAGCCCTGCTCTGCACAGAGGCTTGGTGTGTAGGTGGGCCCCACATCACCTCTCAGAAGAAGAGTTTGCTCTGAAATCCAACAGGACTGTAATTGTTACTTAAGACTTGTCACAATTTACCCCACGAGCAGGAAGGGTGTAACTTCCTTCAGCTCAAACCATACCGTGCAATTACTGACTGTTATTCCAAGTGTACTCTCCGTAATTGTGGGTAGCGTCACCACCACTTGACAGGTAGCCGAAGCACCGGTCTTCTAACAGCTGCAAAATGAGCTGGCAGCCAAGCAGCCAGAGGCACTGCCAACTACTCCCAGTTTGGGATGCTAACAAGCTGCGGATAAGGCAGAAGCGGGGCACGCAGCCATCCCAACCTTGAAGCCTCACGTACACCTTCATGTGGCTTACATAGACTAACACTTCAAGGGGAGGGTGAGCTCCATAAGGAGGCTCCTAGAAAAACCCAGAGCATCCCATGAGGGGTGCAGCCTGGACCAGCTTCAGCATCTTCTCCCAGCTCCTGCCCTGATGCTAAACACCAAGGGAGTCCAGTGTTGGGAATGACACTTGGGAGTTGTTGAAGTGACACCCGGCTATCCTGCTAACATGCAATACCACCTCCTCTCAAGGTTCAACCAAAAGAACGGGTCTGGCTGCATCAGCTGCTGGGCCAGGAAAGATCCTGCACCAAAGTGAGTAACAAATGCTAAAAGGAAGACAATACTCACCTGTTTTGAGGGACAGCATCACAATTTACCTGCTTGGCAGACTACAGCGTCTGGAAAAGTACATCTATTGACACTGTAATGTTCACAGCTTCACAAGCTCAGCCCTCCAAAGGATGAGTGCAAGACTCCCACTTTGATCATTCAGGGTATACTCACATGAGGTGCAGCTCCACAACACACTGACAACCCTTTGCAGACTGCAAGTTCTCCAGCAAGGGAGTTTGATGGTTTTCTAAAACCAACCAGTGACAAAATGTGATAGAAGCCAGGGGGGTACGTGCATAAGAAACAAGACACAAGAGCTCTTAATGGGTTCACAGACAGGACAGGAAAAAGTGATGCTGAAGCTAAGTGGGTGGACAGAAACACCCATAAGCAGAGAGAAAATGCAGGAAGCTGGAGCTGACACTGGTGTGAGCAGGACAGGGGGAAGCAAGAAAACATTTCTCTCTCCCACTCATTTAGGATCAACAGATACTTCAGAACTCACTCCAAATCGGGACTTGTGGGGAGGCTGTAGGATTCAGAATGCCTGAAGGATTTCAAAGCCTACTGAAGTTGATGGAAAGTCTCCAGGGGGTACAGCAAAGCCTCCTTGTGCTCAGGCCTGGCAGAGTAACTCCAGCCTGACCCATAAGTGAAAAATCAGTTCATGTTTTCTGTTTCCTCAGACTGTCAAGGAAGTTAATTTGGGAACCCTTTCACTATAAACTCACAGAAAAACTGCCAACTCCTGCCAACTGCAAGTCACTGTTCTTTACTTCCTGGACCAGGCCCGAGCCAGGCACCTAACACAAAAAGCTCCATTTTTCATTATGATGCCCCATGCCTGTTTTCAAACAGCAATGCAAAGCATCCCAAGTTCTTCTCTCCTTTGCTCATGCTGCAATTTCAAAACGCACAGATCACAACTGCTCCAGCAAGGCACCACTTGCCAAAACAGGGCCGTGGTGAGCTCATCTGGTGTGATCCAAACCACCGCGCCGCCTGCGCTCACCAGTACACGCTGATGTGCCACGCAGGAGGGTGTTTTTCTGCGTTGCCGTTGGGTTTCTGTGCTGGTTCAGAGGAGAGGCCCCTCAGGGCAGGAGCTGTCACTGATGTCTGCACAGCACCCAACACAACACCTTTCAGCACCTTCTCCTTCACCACCTTCAAAGCCTCTCTGAGCACTTACTGCACGATTTCCACTGTGCCAAACACCCTGCCCTGCTGCATCATCACAGGGTGGAAGACGCCTCAGGAGGTCATCTGCTCTAATCCCCGGCTCAAAGAGGAGCTAACTTTAACTTCAGATCATCCTGCAGATATGAGCGACATTTACTACAGCCCTTGACAACACCGTAAATCTGAAATACAGCTTCTTGACAAAACTGAAGGACTCTCGTGATGTGGGATGCAGAACCAGAGTTCTCATATGCCTGAAGAAGGTGGGCACTCAGATGCTTTCAAAGATCACTGAATGTGGGCACACAATCATGTTAAGGCTTCTGGCAGCCCTGGATTTCAGTCATGACAGCCTGAGTACTACCATATTGCAAGAAATTTAACAACTTGCCCTCTAGAAGAATCTGCATTTCAATTTTATTTAACACTTAATATCTTGGAATAAGTTCATTTCACTTATTTACGTATAATGCTTCTACAGCATTATACATATATGCTTATATACATAATGCTTATGTATAATGCTTCCACCAGAGTGGCTTAAAAGAAGGTCCTGCTTTTAAACTAACTCAAAATCCTGAATGCTCTGAAGGTTTCTACCCATACAAGAGCACTAACACAGTGCCTTTGACAAATACTGACTTCACTGCGTTGCACGAAGCGAGTTCTGATACGCTAACAAACAAATTTTCACCAGCAGTAACAATTAAGCTAAAAAAACCAGCCACATACACAGCTGCAAACGAAGCTTGTACCACTACTGAAATACAGGATAAGCAACTTGGAGAAACGTATCAGGACTGCACCACCTTCACCTCGCTGGACCAACGCACACCAAAGTAGAAACTGAAAACATTGAAAATTCTGAAATGCAGAAATATTTCCTTACCTTCACTTGCCCAGCCAGGACCAGACCAGACCACGTGTGGTTAACCAGTTACATGTGCAAGTGCTCTTCATGGCACACACTGCTCTCAGCAGGACAAAAAGCCCATGCACATACAAGGGGTTTCTCCAAGTCCTGAGGTTCACATCACACGTTCATTTCAATAATAAATTCTATCTGCTACCCCATTGCTTGTCTATGCATGGGACCACAGGGGAAGTCAGGAACAAGACGAGTGCAGTGGCATCTCT